TGTGAATTTTTTTTTTCAATAGTTTTATGTCAGTAAATATTATCTACACGCAAAGAATTTTGTAATCTCACTAATTGTATTTAATATTTAAGTATTGAANCGTCGACAACAATACGAAATGGAACGAATTCGAATTTGTCGTTGCAATGCGTCACGCGTTACGTCACGAGTTTTACGTCATAGATGTAATATTTCGAGTATTTTAATTGCATTTTTTAAAGGAAAGTTTATTTTTAACAAATTCTATTATCTCGAATTTGGCAGAATATTTGTTACATGTAAAAAGTTCGCAAGTAACAAGAAAATTTACTCAGATTACATTACACGTAGTTGGGGTTTGATTGGAAACAATTGCTTCCACCATTGTAAGATCGGCAATTTACAGCATATTTCTACAACTGATAGTTTTAATTTATATTGCCACAATATCTTCTTAACTGTGAAAGAATGGGTAGCTGCACTTCCGATATTGAAAATTTATTTTAAAAATGTTTTGGCTCGAGATCATATAATGAAAAAGAAAACATTATGAAAAGAGAAAGGCCAATGCTTAAGTTACATATAAAAAATTAAATAAATTTGTTTGACATTTTCACGGAAATATAACTCCGTAAATGCATAAAAATGCAAAAATTATTTTGTTGGCTCGCCTACTATATTCGAACAAATTAGTATGTGAAATAAGAATGGCTTTGACAATTTGCTGGCAAAAGACCCCAAAAATCGTCGATTCTCTTGTACTTGAAAAAATTTAACTCCTTAATTTAACGATCACCTGTTATTAATTATGATGTAATTAAGCATAAAAAAATACATAAAAATACTTAAAACTGATAAAAACGAAAGAAATGCGTTAATTTTGAAGAAAAAGCTCCAAATTTTATTTTCGTTTGTCTTGCCTTTCTGTGAAATTTAACACCGATGAGTCATTGTTTACACAGCTGGATGACCTTTAGAACAGCTGGAGTCCGATTTCCCGGGGAATTCTCATAGACGTCTCTGGAGGACAAGGGTTTAAAGTAAAGTGAATACTAGCGACGTTTATATTTTTATATATTTTCTAAAAATTAAGATTTTAATTGCGATTTCCGACCTCCCTAATTAATTAAATATATATATATTAAAATCGATTAATCAAAAAAATTAAAAAACTATCGGAAATCGTTTTTGACATCAGAAACTAGCTTTAAATAACTTTACCGAAGGAAAATCCGTGCACTGCAACTTTGGAACCATGAAATAAATTTGATAAAAAACTCCCATTTAAAAACAATTAAACCTTAATCGAGCCTGATCAAAGGCTCATTAAAATCGCGATAAAATTTTTTCACGCGGGCAAAAATATTTGCAAAAATTTGTAGACTTAAAAAACATTCCAAAAATTGAAAAAAATAATTTGTAAAAATGGCCTTAAGGACCGCGTTTCTCGTAATGCTATGTAAACATTACGAGTTATCTCGCCAATGGGCGTCAAATTTTAATTAATTAAAAATCAAAGACGAATAAAATTTAACATTAGTAAATGATATAAAATAAATATTAAAGATTATAACGAGATAGTTACGGCTAATAGATATATTTAAATTGATATATGCTATATGTTTTTATGAAAGCAAGTATCGGTATTTAAAGGGCACAGGAAATCTATTGATTCTAATTACAAAATTAATTATATTAAACTGGCTCATTTATTAATTACGTCAGATAAATTATCTAAAAAAAATACATTTTAACAATTAACTGATTACCCCTAAAAGTAAACTTCTTAAAGAAACTGTAAGTTCGCCGATTTTGGGGGCAATACGTTAATTGCGCGTCAGGAAAACCTAGGGTCAAACCGTATGTGGGTGGTGGCGGTAGGAGACAGAGATGACAAGTGTCTTACACGAAAACCGTTTATTTTGACATGAAGTTAACTTACATATTATGAATAACATAAAAATTGGGACTGTTGGCCGGCAGGTGCTGTTGAATGCCCCGGGGCTTCCTTGGAGAAGAGTCCGACGGAGAACGGGCGATGTCCGATGATTGGGTCCTCACTTCCTTCTGCTGGGTATGCGGCGGAGTCTGGATGTCCATGTGCGGATGATCTGGCGAACCTCCTGACACTCGTCTTGGAGAGAATCGGCCTTGGGGAGAATCGCCCTCGTGTCCTTGAGATTCGGGGGTTTTATAAGATTTTCCCCGAATATCACCCTTTTGATTGGTCCCTTTCACCCTCTCCCTTACTCCGATTGGTCATTCCTTTGTTTCTAGGCGAAACCCGAGACCGATTCGGGTCGGGAAAAGGTCGGAGAGGTGATGACGGTCCTTTAACGTTCGCGCTCGTATTTTACTCCGTTATGTCCCTTTTCTCTGTCATCTTGGAACCCAAACGGTTCACCAGATGTTCTTGTGGCCATTTATCCCCTACCGCGTTCTTACTTCACAGATATCCCTTTTGTTCTTAGACCCCCCTTTCTCCCGCTTGCTTCGACCCGATATTTGTTCGCGCGCGTCTCGACAAAGCTCTCCCTCTCTCTCTGTCGACATTCCCCCCTGTTATTTATCGTCGCGTCGCGTTTGTTTTACACTTCGAGAAAGTTTTCGTCTCATCTGGGCTTTGTCACTAACACATCCCCTTGACCTGATTCTATCCTCGAAACTTTCTGCGGTTAAAGTTTGTAATTAGTCGAAATTTCTACGCGCTTTTACGACCCTCACAAAACACATTTTCCCTATCATCAAATTTCACGGCACACCACTGGTATAAATGTCGCTTTACAATTCATTTTGTATTACACTACGGGATAAAATAAAATCTGAGCAGGACCACGACGCAATCGATCTATATTTTGAGGCATATGGAGGCAGTTGCCACCGTGTGAGAGATGTTAAAAATTTCTCCTCGAACTTTTCTATTCAGTTTGCAGTCGCGGGTTTGCACTTCACCACGTTCAGTTTTTTGGGTTTTCTTCACTTGTCTAATACCAAAATATAGGCTAGTTTTCTACAGAAAGTCCTGGCACACAATACCTATTGGTATTACATTGTATTACATTGCCTTATTCAACTATTGCGTATAGAAAATTATTTTAATTTTTCTCTCATAAATGTAGTACAGTAGAGCTTCGATTAACCCGACCCCCGATTTACCGTCACCTCGGTTAACCGACCGTCCTAGTCGGAAAATTTCAAATGTCCGTTAGTGATGTAGGGCTACAATATTTGGCTATGTTTTGGCTACTTTAATATTATTTTTACATGTTTTAGCTGGCAACACTGGATCGACCATGAAAGGGAGCCAATATTTAAACGAGGCTTAATTTTCTAATTTTTAACGATACTATAGCGACGATTATTATCTTTAAAAAAAATTTGATAGGCTTAACATGGAGGAAAATTCAACGCGAAGTAGGTTAATAGCGATATACTAATATACTAATATACAAATTACATGGGATATAATAATATACTACACTAATAATGGATTTTTTCATACTTTTCGGTTATCCGACTTTTCAATTAATCCGACCAACCCCAGTCTCAAATTGAGTCGGATTATCGAGGCTATACTGTATATTTAGGTTATTTATTTATTTATTTATTTTCAGAAAGATCAACATGGCATTAGAAGTGGACATGGTTGTGTCCATCGTGCTCCTTACTGTAGGTTTTGTAATGGTATTTGGAGGAATGGTTCTATATTGCTTGATCAAACCCGATCTTTGCGATCGGTTAGTGACGTCGGTTCTTCTGCCATCTCCGGCGGAAGTTCCAAGCGCACCTCTTTTTCAGATTCGGGATTAATGCGCTATAGCCCCATTTGGAAAGGTATTAAAATATATAAGGGTCGTTGGGACTGAATATTTCGTTAAACTTGTCTTTTATTTTTACGAAATTTCATTTTTCATGCCATTGTTTTGCTACAAACTTGCAACTGTTTAAAATTATATTTGGCGTCATTAAATTTAAAAATTTGTCTTTCGTTATGAATCGGGTAGATTTTTTATGTTTTCGTCATCTGTCATAACTGTTATAAACAAGGACTTTAAACTACAAGGATAGTCAGATCCCGTATATTTGTTAGCGTGACCTTGGCTCTATGTGACGTCACAGCAAATCCTCTACTTAACATGACACATCTTTCAAATAACAAAATACGATAAAATATTAAATCATTTCTTAATTAATTATTAAATTACTACTAAATGTAAACTACTGTAGAATTTTCGGATTTAATAAGTGTACTGTACGTCAATAAATTTACAAGTCTTTTGTCTAACATTTATTTAACAAATTAATGAGCTATATTTTTTATTATGTGANTAAAAGTATTTCTCTTGTCATTTTTTGATCAAACCCGATGTAAACAGGTTGCTTCCAATTTGAAAAAAGAAGGTTATTATTGCAACCATACACAGCACACCTAGTACTCAGCATTTTGTTCTTCACCTAACATAAAAATATAGCTTTAAATATTTAATGACTTATATTTAAATCATCTTACTTTAAAAAAACTTAGTCAAATAAAACAATTACAGAAATATTAAAATAAATCACTTCGTTAATCACAAAATTGGACGAACATTAAAAGCGAAAACTAAACACGTGCACACCCTGCTCTATGTAAACAGAGAAGTCAGGACTCGTGCTGACGTCACTAACTTGCCATTCCTGGCTAACATTGTAGAATAGGGATCTGGCTATCCTTGTAGTATATTGTCCTTGGTTATAAACATTATTATTAATTATAAATTCATCAAAAAATGCGCAACTTCAATAAATATCGAATCTGTAAACATTTAATATAGAATTTAATTACTTTTATTGAATATAAAAATTTATGTACAAATTTAATTGTTGAAGTAATTATGATTGTGGAGTACACAAACCGAGTACGTCTATTTTTGGCTTTATTCAAATTTTTCTGGTATGCCTTTTAGTGGCGAATATTCGTTATTTGGCGGTAAAAGTTTTTACCAGTAGAACACCAAATGAAATACAACGTAAATGTCTGTAGAATATAAGTTGTTTTGGCCAGTTATAGTCATTTAAACAGCCTTTAATTAAACACGAGAACAATGCTTGATGTCACCGTCGTTGTTCTAAATGCTCTTTAACCAAATCTCGAATAGTGTCGAAGTATCCATCCTTAAATTGGGATGGAAAGTCAAGTCCAGTCGATTCAGTCGTAGACGGGTGAAAAGTCAATTCCTAGTGAGTGTCATATTCGAGTGAATGGTCACTTCCGAGTGGCGATGTTACATTCGGTGGAAAGTCGATATCTGCGCAACAAGGCCTGGCCAGAGAATGGGTTTATGTCTTTCAACAGCAAAACAACTTTTTCCACCAAGGCCTTTTACGCTCGACGAGCTCTTCTTCCATTTCTTCGGCTCCTTTCTGTCCACACCGGTCTCACCCGACGGTGTCTCCACCATCCATTCCGTAACTTCCGGATATCGCCGGTCTATATATTGGACGAGAGACGAGGCGATGTCGTCCGGAGTTACAACCACCACCCATTTGACGTCCGGTGTATGACACATGTCCTCCGCATCCTTCGGGAGCACCCTTATGACACCTGGCCAAGACCAGGCGTCATCCTCGGACTCTGCATTGTCCGAGATGCGCAACTTCTTTAACTTTCTGAAATTCTCCATTCTGCAAAGCAAAATGAGAAAATTAATTGAGAAATATTCATATTCTAATCTGAATTGTAAATTTCTAATGCAAAAATTATTAAATTCTGTCAGAAAAGAATATTATTATCTATATCTATATTATATATATATAAATGGACATGTATGTCTTTATATTTCACTTTTCCGCAAAAAGTACACATCGCACGTGAATGGTGTTTGAATGTGGTAGTAGCCCCAAGTCTCCATTCGTGCATAGGGGTGGTTGCGTCTCGATAGCTATAAGGGTGCAGGAGATATGAGGCTGAAAGTGGTTAAAAGTGGCTTTCTATTTCGAATGTTTTGTTCGAATTTGTTCGAATTAAATTCGAACATAAAATTCGAATATTGGTTCGATTATAGAACGATTGTAAACGTTCCAGAAACGTTGAAAATAGTT